AAAAAAAAAAAAAAAAAAAGAAAGAGAGAGAAATGGGGAATCAAATTAAATTAAAAATGACTGAAACAAGTCAGATAAGTAAGCATTTGTGTTTCCATGGGGACGTGATGCATTCCTCAGAGTGGGAGCCTGGCCTCAGGAAGAACTAACGCCGGAGCAGCAAACAACACTGCAAGTGGCCCCACAAGCAGCCCACGGCTGTGCCCGAGGGACCAGCACTTGTCCCTTGGCTCTGATAGCCCTTGGATCTCTAGAAAATCTCCCTGGACTCCCACATCCCCAACACACAGCCACCAGGAACTTCCAGCCTGTTCAGAGGGCCTGGTTGGAGAGGTTGTTTCCCTCTTTCATTCCAACAGCCTTGCAGCAGTTGGACGGGGCTTGGAGCAACCCGGTCGAGTGGGAGGTGTCCCTGCCCCTGGTGGGGGGGTGGAACCGGGTGGGCTTTAAGGTCCCTCCCAACCCAATCCATCCTGGAATTCTCCGTGTCTGACCAGTTTAACCTAGGGCTAGGTGAGGACCAGACAGCTGGAGCTCTGGTCCATGGACCCTCCTCTCCTTGAGCTTTCTAGAAGATCTTTCTGATTTTCCTTGGATCTTACTGTGCTGTGTCATCCACGATGGGTTTTGTTGGGTTACATCATTTGTGTTGGGTTGGGTTGTGTCACTCTCGTTGGGTTGGGTCATTGATGTTGAGTTGGGTTATGTTGGGTCATTCTTGTTGGATTGGGTTGGGTCATTCCTGTTGGATTGGGTCGAGGTGGGTCATTCATGTTACCTGGGGTCATTCATATAGGGTCGACGTGGGTCACATGCGGTTGGGTTAGGTCAAGGTGGGCCATTAATGTTGGGTTCCATTGGATCATTTGTGTTGGGTTGTGTTGAGGTGGGTCTTTTGTGTCAGGTTGGGTTGGGTTGGGTCAGTTGGGTTGTGCCATTCATGTCAGGTTATGTTGAGATGGGTCAGTTGTGTTGGGTTGAGGTGGGTTGGGGCATGGTGGGTTGGGCTGAGGTGGGTCATTCGTGTTGGGTTCTGTTGGATCATTTGGGTTGGGTTCCTTTGGATCATTCATGTTGGCTTGGGTTGACACGGGTCATTTATGAAACAGCACCAACACCCACAGTGACACTTTCCAGAACTTTTGTCCTACAAACCGCTTCCAGGAACGTCCCCTTGGCTCAGCCGCCCTTGGTTTCTGCTGCTCTCATGGAAATAGGTGCAAGATTTCCTGGAAAATGTGAATTCCCTGTCCTGCCCCTGTCCAGGAAGATCCCCCACGTGCAGAGAGAAACCTGTGTGTGCTCTGCACGTCACCCAGAGCACTGCATGACATCAGCACAGACACCACCAGCTCCCAGAAATCCCGAGGGCAGGGAAGGGGGGCAGATTTCTTGCATGACCCAATGGAGGATGCCCATGCAGGATCCAGAGTCCCTTTCCTCCATGTGGGGCAATGGGAGCCCCATGGAGTGGAAGACACTGGCAGGGACTGGCAGGGCCTTTCCCAGGCAGAGGGCTAATTCCAAACCCCTTGGACCGGATGCAGGATCTCGTCACCAGCACCCGCTGGAGAAGGGAAGAGCATTGTGTGGGCTGTTGCTTTTTTTAAAGCTGTCTGTGACCCCGGGAGTAGCATTCAAGTGAGGAAGGAGGGGAGAAGGGGGAGGGCAGAAAATTCCCAGATCCCAACTCTCCCTGGGAAATCCCCAGAAAGCTCCCAAGCATGCACTTTCCCAGCACGTGAGTTCCTACGTGCTGAGGCCAAGCAGCAGGTGCATCTCCAGGTCGACGGGCAGCTGGGGGGGATGTCAGCCCCCCCGAGGGGGCGTGGTGCTGCCTGTCCCCATCCCACAGGACCCTGCGGGGCACAGGAGGGATCACAAATCCCGGTGAGCTCTGGAGAGAGCGCTCCACACCCCGAGGAGAAACAACCCCGTGAGCATGAACCACGGGACATCCCAATGCGGCTGCACGGCCCACCCCAAACACAGCCAGTGGAACACCACGGGAGGGGGATATCCCCTCCCCAGAGCCCCCCCAGTGTCCCCCCCCCAGACCCCCGAGAGCAGCCCTGCAGTTGAGTCGCTATTTAATCGCCTTTACTGGCATCCGTTGCTCCCGTCGGGAACACGCCTGGATCCCGCAGGCACCCGGCGGGCTGAGGGGCTGTGCCAGGGCACGGTGGGACAGGGGATAGGGCTCCCTGCCAGGAAGGACCAAGGGACAGGCGACAGCCCGAGGACCACGGGGCCCGTCACCGCATCCGCTGCCTCCTCCGGGGATCCGGCAGCGGGGCACGATCGCACCCCGGGAAGGGCCCGCGATAAATTCTCATGGAGGCCGGGATGCCTCTGCCGTGAGCTCACCCAGTGACTAACTTGTTTATCTCCCGCGGGAGCTGCACCGAGGTTTTTGGGAAGCGGCAGATCCCCGACAACTCCTCTGCCTGTTCCAGGCGCCGCCCCCACCCCTTTCCTGAAAAACGCTGTCGGAAATGAGGAATCCGCGGTGGCACCACTGCGTCCCCTCGCTGCGAGGGCAACGCAGGGAGCGGCTCCTCTGCCTCCTGCCAGAGCCACACAGCCGGGAGTGCCACGGCAGGGAAACTGGAAAGGCTCAAAACATCTGGATTTTGGAAAACCGGGTATGGAAATTCCGGCACAGCACTGGGGAGAAGCTCCGCGTGCTTCTCTGGGCTGGTTTGACTGCGCAGGTACCGGGGAGGCACCGCTGAGACCTTATCCTGCCCCATTCCCAACCCGGGGAGACACCACTGAGATCTCATCCTGCCCCATTCCCAATCCAGGGAGACATCACTGAGACCTCATCCTGCCTCATTCCCAACCTGGCGAGGCACCATCACGTTTAAGCACAGGGGAAGATGTCCCTGGAAGCGTCCAAGGCCAGGTTGGACAGGGCTTGGAGCAACCCGGTCGAGTGGAAGGTGTCCCTGCCTGTGGCAGGGGGTTGCAATTGGGTGGGCTTTAAGGTCCCTCCCAACCCAATCCATCGTGGAATTCTTCTGTGTCTGACTAGTTTAACCTAATCCTCAGGTAACCACACGCCAGGGTTCCAGTGCCACCACGTGTCATCCATTCTCGGGGAGTCCCCAGCGCCTCCTGCCGCTCCCACTTTCGGGTCTGGGGCTCCTTCTGATCCACCAGCTCGGTCCCACAGTCCTGCCCCTGCGGATGCTTCGTGCTGGAGAACAACCTGGAGCACCGGGGATTGGGACCCGGCGGGGTCCTGCCCGGGATGCGGGGCTGGGATCGTGTCCCGGGGGGAGCGGTGGGAGGGGGATCCGAGGGGCTGCAGCCCCACCGCCGGGCCGAGGCGGCCCTCCAGCGGGGACCCGCTGCCTTCCCCGCGTACGAGCCGCTGCTCCGGTGCGTTTTGATGGAAATCAGCGCTTTATAACCCAAAAGGTGGTGTCTGTATCTCGCCCCCGCCCCTTCCTCCTCCCCCTACCCGCCACCTGCAGCGGGGCAGG